GCAAGATGGATGGACGAAATTGAAGTTCAAGAAAGGCTAAGAATATGCTAAAGAGATGGAAGAAATTAATTCAAGACTTGGAAGAAAAGGAATCAGCTACAAAGAAGGAAACATGAGTCAAACTACCTTATTTTGAATTAGTCAATCCTAATCTTTTCCTACTTAATTTCCAGCTGCAAGAGGATCCCTAATTATATTAGGACACTTAAATATATGTTCTAGAAGCCTAATCCCATTCTAAGAGGGATGTCGCACCACCTATCCTTTTCCTTCCTTTTCCTTGCCGTGCAAGGCATTCCCCCTTTCCCAATTCCCTTACCACACCCTTCTTCCCTTTTCTCTCTTGGATTCTGATTTAATTACCCTTTTTCCTTGAGGATTTAGAGTCCAAATCTTTCCCAAAACATTTAGTTAATGCCTTGCCCTTTCTTCCTTTATTTTACACATTCTGCCACATTTATTAACAAAATTCACTCACATAATCATTCACGGATTCAACCATTCAATTCAGCCATCATCACACACATAATTCCACCCCACCATCCATCCACCACAACCCAATTTCAGCCACAACCACCCTTGTACTGCAACCTAGCAAGGAAGAAAGAGACAAGAAGTAGCCTTAGACGTATTTGCCATTCAAGTTGGATTGTTGCACGTTCTTAGGTGTAATCTATCTTAGTTCTCAATGTTTAATTTATATTCTCTTTGTTTTGCTGTGAACATGAAAGGCTAAACTTGTTTTAGCTAATGGAGACTTTGAAACCATGATTATATTTGCAATATGAATTGATTACTTCCAGTTGTGATTTCATAAATCGTGAATGCAATTTACTTAACTGTTGGATTAAGAACTTATTCTTGTATGTTGATTAAGGAGGCCTACTTACTTTGCATACATGAAGTTGATGCTAGAATATAAGGGAGTTTCACATAATCGTTATGAACTTATAATCACAAGTAGTGAAGATCGCTGGTCACGGACCCTCTAGCTAGCTTGTCACCCATGAATTCACCCAATTTCGTGCCAAACATGTTTAAGTCTTTAAGGTATCGTTTGGTATGCAGACGGGACGGGACGGAACGGAATGGGATGGGACGGGACGGGACAGGACGGAATGGAATGGAGTGGGAGCAAAGATGCCCTCAGATGGAAACAAGGAGGAAGAAGAAGGAGATGGAGAGGTTATAATTTTGTGTTCCACGGATGTGGAACGAGTCATTCCAGGGGGTGAGGTGGAACGAAAATTCACCCAAAACTCGTCCCGTAGAACAGGTCGTTCCACCCGTTTTAGGCGCACCAAACGTGGGACGGAATGCCTTGTCCCACTCTGTTCCGTCCCGTCCCACGTACCAAACGGTACCTAATTTACTTGTCTTTACTCTAAATTCGTCAAAAACCCAATCCCCTTTACTTTGTTGTGTCAAATTAGTTAGAATCTGTTCAATTTGTGTTTTTAAGTGTTTTGAGTCAAGTTAAAATTAATTTTCATCCAAATCACCCTTTTGAGTCTAGTTTGAGTTTATTTGATTATTTTGTGTTGTTTTGAGTCTTTTTAGTTTGTTTTGAGTTCTTTGAGTCTAGTTAAGTGTTTTCAAGCCTAGTTTTGTGTTTTTGAGTCAGTTTTAAATAGATTAGCAATCCCTCCTAATCTCTGGCCTAGAATGATCCCTACTTAGATCTTTACTACAATTGTCAATAAGAGGGTTTAATTTGAGTGCTAGTTTATAACACATCAAACATAAATATGTGCAACTACTAAATGCATGTTCTAAATATAAAACATTTGGCATGATACTTTAAAACACAAGTCCATTTAAACACATTTTCTGGGAAAAATACCAAGCATATAAATATACTGAAAACTAAAAGCCTACTCACTGATATGTGGAAGGGTTGTAGCCCCCAAGTCTCGCTTGACTGCGCTCGTCCTCTGGAAAAGTCTCACCTATATGTGAAACAACTATTTTAATGTTATTTTAAGCACATATACAAAACTAGGTAATATCTTCTCATACATTGCTCAATTAGGTTATTTGAATATACTATCGTGGCCTACTCAACCCCACGAACATCCCCATATTTTGAGAATAATTTTTTAAGTTCCCACACGCGCGACTACGTGCAGGCACGTGCCTGGCACACTGGACAGAATCCTTAACAGCATTAGGGAATATTCCGTTAAATAATAGAATATACCGTTAAATATACCTAAGGTTGTTAGTAATATTCCGTCAAAATTGACTGAATATTCCCCTTTTCCTTCCTTTGTTCGCCGAAGTCCAGCGCCGGTCACCGCTGCTATCGCCGGATTCTGGGAAAATTTCAAACCTTAATATCTCACTCATTTTAACACCAAATTTCATGAAATTTGTACCAAAATGAAGCTTAGGATGAAAGGAACACATATTTACCACTTTTAGGACCTAAAACCAATGGAATCTCGCCGAAAAAATCTTGATAGTCCAGCCATCCCTGCAACTTAACGAACTCAAGTGTCTCGACGTCCAAAACCTTCCAAAACTCCTCTATAAGCTTCGTGAAGAAGTTTTAAGACTTCCTAGGACCCTAAAACTCGACGAAACTCTGCGATCACAATGAATGAACAGTAAACTTCGTTGGAGCTCCCCGGTTGTAGAGTTTATGAAGTTCTCACGTCCAACCAAGGGTATAATTGAGTTCGTAAGGGTACAAGGAAGGAGATGATGGTGCCCACAAGCTTGATCTGTGAATGGAAAGCTAGATTAGGAGTTGTCCGTACAGGTTGTACGGACTGATGGAAACGATCGTGGGGGAGAGAAAGAAAGAAGGGTCAATGTGTAAGTGTGTGTGTGTGGTCCGGATTTGGGCAACCAACCAAAAAAAATTAAAGCCTAAATTCTAATTGGGTCCAATTACTTAGGAAGAAAATGAATTACGCCAAATCCTTAGTCCATCCACACACGCCATTACCAAACGCCCAAAGGTAAATTAGTCATTTCATGCCAGTGAGAATAAAATATATTATATTTCAGGACGGGTTGTCACATCCATTCCGCTCCACATCATAATGCCATCACTTGTAACCTCCCTTAAATGCCTCCTCCACCAACTTCATCAACTCTTCGTTCGTATCATCATCCAGATTATACTTCCAATATGCAAATAATTAATTCCAACATATAACAAAAAAATTTCACAAAATTAATTATTGATCTATCAACAGTATAGTTACCAATAATTGATCCATCACCGCATTCTTCACATTCTCGGGCATAAATTTCCAAGAACGCCACTCAGCAACAGGACAATTATTCTGCATGGCTACACCAATCATATGCGTGAACTCCACATGTTGCCTCAAATCATACGGGTTAGTAGGCACGTTCTCATCCCGATTTTTATCCTCCATCCCAGCACGAACAAAATTGTGAAGAATAAGGAGAACAAAAGCCCATATTTATAGGAAGGTTTGGGCCTTTGCACGACGAAAGCTTTGTCGCGCAAACATTTGCACTAAATACAGTATTGATTCATCTGATTCACATGCACTGAATGCTCTGACTCAAAACTGACTGTAACTTGCATGATAAAGCCCTTGTTGCGCAAGTGTTCCTCGGTTTCCCATGCGTTGAATGCTCTGACCCAGAAACTGAACGAGCTTTGAGTGACAAAGCCTTTGTTGTGCAAAGGTTCTTCGAGAAAAACTTCGTCGTGCATGTTTTTCGCGCCAAAAAAAAATACCCACATTTTTTCTTATTGATTTTGCACGATGAGTATATTGTTTTCGTCGTGCGAACCTTGTCGTGCAAACTTTGAGCGACGAAGTTCCTATCTCGGTGCACAAAACGCTCTTGCAACAATTTATGCTTTGTCGCGAAAATAGTTTTTCCTACTAGTGTTTTTGATACATTTTGTTCGTTGTTTGTATATAAAACACACATTTATATTAGCTTCTTGAAACATGCCTACGCGTGTGGCAATTGACCTTTCTTTATATTAATTAAAATATAAAAATATAAAAAAAAATTTGTTATATCTATTTTTTGATTAAAAATTAAAAATTAATAAAGGCTATGTAACCACCCATTAATTTCATGTACACAAAAGTTAGAGAATATTCCAAAACTCATCAAATTCTAATTTATGTTCCTAAATTTTCGAGATTACTTTGAATAAAATATGACAAAAGAGTAATACTAGGTGAACTAAATTTGTGGACTAAATTTGAAAACTAAATGATGTGTCACCAATAAGAGAAGTGATGGAGGAGAGCATTTATATGTGTATTCCTACATGTCGAGTTTTATTGGTTGAAATGTTAGTGAAATAAGTGACCCACAATTAAATCAACAAAAAGTAAATTTGACATTGATGTCAAATTTGACTTCTAAACACGAAGACTTCAAATCCAGTTAGCAAATAACACTTCGATTGGAAGGATTTTTTATGTCAAATATGCACAGTCTTATCTCCACTTAGGATTTGACATCTTCTTTGGGGATGCTCTAAGACCATCTCCAACCCTTGGGCTAAAAGCCAAATTTTTTAGCCCAGAAATAGCTTTTCTGCTCCAACTCTTCTAGCATAAAATTTTAGCCTGGGATTATTAAAGAAGGAACTTAGGCTAATTTTTTTTTCCTTAAATTAACTTTTAAAAAAAAAATCATGTAGGCTATCATAAATTAATTTTATGAATATTTTAATCTAAAAATATTTAAATTTCCGATAAATATTGAAAAATCACTAAATCTTTCCACAAAGCAAGCCTTCAACTTTCATCAAACTTTCAACTTTCACCAACTGTTCAACTTTCACCAAACTTTCAACTTTCACCAATCTTTCAACTTTCATCAATCATCCTCTATATAAACGCAGGTTCAATATCAGTTGACCACACAATCTTTCAACCTTCAATCATCCTCTATATTCACCAATCTTTCAACTTTCAAAGTGTTTTTGTTTCCTAAAAATCCTTAATATCTCATCAATCGGTGACAGAAGAAAGCATAGTAGAGCAATGCAAATGGCACAATATCAAGCAAGCCTTGACATTGAGGTTGTAGAAATGATCAATGCAGAAGTTGAACTTGCAAACTCACTTATGCAACATGAGCACCATGCCGAATCTAGCTATCATGGTTCTGTCATGGGGCATTCATTTGTGCAGCGTGATAGAGAACAGTGTCATGACCGAATGATGAAAGATTATTTCATCGAGTGTTTGAGATTTCCTGCTCATGATTTTTTTAGGCAGTTTCGGATGAGGAGAGAGCTTTTTGAAAGCATCTTGAACGCAGTTGTCAATCATGACCACTACTTTGCAAGGAAGATAGATGCCATAGGCCAACAAAGTCTACCAGCTCATCAGAAGCTCACATCTGCATTTTGGATGCTAGCTAATGGGTGCTCTACAGACTCAACTGACGAGTATTGTCAACTTACGGAAACTACTGCTATTAAGAACCTGAAGCACTTATGTGGAGCAATTCAAGCCATATATGGAGCAACATACCTCCGCAAGACAAATCATGAAGACTTGAAAAGGCTTCTACTCACGGCAGACAAAAAAGGCTTCCCTGGCATGATAGGAAATCTCGATTGTATGCATTGGGAGTGGAAGAATTGTCCTACTGCTTGGGCTGGCCAATTCAAGGGCCTTCATAACAAGCCAACCATTGTGCTCAAGGCTCTGGCGTCTTATGACACATGGATTTGGTATGCATTCTTCGGCACGTCTGGATCAAACAACAATATCAACGTTCTTTGGTCTTCTCCTCTGTTCGATGATGTTGTCAATGGATAGGCACCAGAATGTCGGTACAAGGTAAATGGTAATAGGTATGAGCTAGGTTACTACCTAATTGGTGGTATTTATCCTAGTTAGTCTACCTTTGTCAAAAAAATTTCTCATCCCGATAGTGCAAAGAATAAATTATTTTTGCAGAGGCAAAAGTCTTACAGGAAGGATGTGGAGAGAGCGTTCGGGATCCTACAAGCACGATGGGCCATTGTTAGAGGGCTTGCACGACTTTGGCATACCGAAGACCTCTATTCAATCATGATGACGTGCATAATTTTGCACAACATGATTGTGGAAGATAAGTACATCGAAATTGAAGAAGATTCAGACAAAGATGTGGATGATGACCAACCAACACATGCGAGAGCTATTGCAAAAGATGTTGAATATCTTGCTGCAACTACATATGAGACCCGACAGGATAAGGTCACATTGAGTGAGTATATGAGACGTTTAAATAAAATTCAAGCTCCTCAAGGTCATGACACACTCCGCAAGGATTTGGTTGAGCATGTATGGCATCGAGAAGGTGAACATTGATGATGTTGGTTGAGCATTTATGTATGTTGGTATTTTCTAGTAATAAATTTAGGTGCCTTCTTATGCAAAGTATTTTTCCTAGTACGTTGGATAAATTATTGAATGGAGGTTGAATTATTGAAGGCATCTATTCTACATCAAAGTGTGGAATAATAAGTACAATAATTATTGAAGGCATCTACATTAATAGAAACAATAATTAATAAGCCATAAATTTAATACACACGATGTAACAGCACGTTCCGGAAATTTTAAAACGTACGCGTGAAAAGACGATTTTGCCCCTAGCGTGATTTTTCGCTGTGTGGTTGTTTTTTTTTTTAGTTTGGTGTGGCTGGTTTTGCACCACACACTTTCCCCCACACCTTTCCTTCACTATTTCCCTGTCCCTCACCCCTGTCCCGTGCCATTTTCCCTTCCCATTTTCCATACAACGTACAGACACACACACAAACCCATCAAATCTTCACAGATCGAAGGAACAAAGTACGTATCCATGCTCATGAGGCTCGTAGGAGTCCAACCATACCCATTTCAGGTGAGGTTACCTTCGTTTTCACGTCGAACTCGGGATACCCGATTTTTGGCACTGTTCATGCACACATAAATTCTCATGTTTTTGGGAATTTCAAGCTTGTAGGAAGCTTGGTGAGGTCCCTAGGAGGCTCGGGGTGGTTCGTTTGAAGGTTTTGGACGTCGGGATTGTGGGTTTCGAAGTTGGCCGGAAATGGTGGAGTTTTTCAGGCGAGATTTCGTGGATTTTAGCACTTGAAAGTGGTATGAACTTGTTCCTCTCGTTGTAAGCTTCATTTTGGTACCAATTTTGTGAAATTTGGTTGAAAAACGAAGAAGATAGGACGATTTGAATTTTTCCTGATTTTCCAGCGCCGGCGACGGCACTGGAGTCTCGCCGGAGAAGACGACGGAATATTCCGTTAGTTTGGACGGAATATTCCTAACGCCGTTGACGAAAACAATTAAAGATAACGGAATATTCCTGACGACGTTAACTGAAGCCGTCAGCGTGCCTGCGCGTGGCCAGCACATGGGGGCGCGTGCGGCGGTGAAATTTTTTTCTAAAAATATGGGGATGTTCCTGAGGTTGAGTAGATCACGTTGGTGTATTCATACACCCCATTTGAGCAATGTATGAGAAGTTATTTCCAAAGGTTGGTTATGTGCTTTAAAATTAACGTTTTTATAGTTGTTTCGCATATAGGTGAGACGTGTCCCGAGAACGAGCGTGGTCACTCGAGGCAAGGGGGTTACGACCCTTCTACTTACTAGTGAGTGGGCTTTTGGTTTTCCGTATATACCTATATACTTATACGTTTCCCAGAAAATGAATTAAAATGTTTTTGCATTATTATGCCATGTTTATTGGTTGCCGTTCATTTATGCATTATTAGTCATACATATATACATGTGTATTGGTGCCGTGGACGCACAGGTAAGTGCTAGGTGAATATGATTTTACATTTACGTTCAGTAGTGATTCTAGATACATAGAGAGCTTATATAACCTGCACCCCCGGTGTTAGTGCTCCCGCCCAGAGTAGGGCACAGTCCTTCACGTGATGTTCACCTCCCGCACCACACGCTCATCTTGGATCCAAGTTAGGTGCACAGGCTTGTCGTACAGACCACTTTAGGTGGTTTCGACTCGTAGGTGACCCGCAATTATTCGCCCAGCCTTCATGTGATCGTAGCACTAGAGCGTACTTATATTACACCCAGGCCTGTCGTACAGACCACTTTAGGTGGTTCTGACTCGTGTGCAGGTCTAGCTAGTGAGATGGAGATTTGAGCTCTAGATTCAGCCGTACAGGTCACGTTAGGTGACTCCAGCTGACAGATTATATGATATTGATATGATATTACCTCAGCACTTGCATTTTACTTTGAGGCTTTGGCATAACATATTCCTGAGCATGATATATATATATATATTCTATTTTTCTGGGAAGTATACAGGTTTTACGGCGAGGGGTTAGAACTTATTTATTAAATTGGTATTCGAAAAGCTTTATTTTTGCCCACTCACGCTTTTGTTTTGCGCCCCTCCAGGTTCTAGTTGGCTAGCACATTTGGTGGCTTCCCTGAGGATTTTCCCGGCATATCTGACAGACCACCACCAGTGTAGGACCACCTTCGGGTGTGCTTTTGTTGTGTTGTTTCCTTTTGGACTGCATTAGGCGTTCTTGCTCTGAACTTAGGGTTCACACTTATGCTTGCACTTGTTCGTTAGTACCTTGTGTAAAGCTAGTTTTTATTTATTCGTACTATTTATTATTATTTTATTAGCTTCCGCACTGTGCACATGGTTACGTCACTTCCATGTGACGGCCAGCATGCCTTGATCTCGATCGGGGTGTGTCACACGACAATTAATAAAGTACATAAACTTAATACAAATGACAATTAATAAACCACATAAACTTAATACAACCGATAATTCATACACTACATAAACTTAATAATGATATCCACCATCTTGACTTGGTGATGGACTTGGTGGTGGACTTGGGATATAGGGTTGAGATGATTCATCATCTTGAAATATACTCATTGTGGCATACTTTCTCAAAATTTCTTTTTGCTTACCACGTAAGAACTTCTTACTCTCTAGAGTGTATTTGTTGAGGTCCTCCATCATGAAATTAATTTCAAACCTATCTTGCTCCCTATCCCCTTCTTCCTTCATTTGCAAACGCATTCGGCCACTTCTTCTTGGCGAGCGCTATGGGTTTTGCTCAATCTTGCAATTCTGGTAGTAAAGTGTCCACTCATTGGATCTTGGGACTTCCCTTTTCTCTTTGCTTCCTTTTGCTTATCTTTTCCTAGAGGCCTAGCAAAAGGAGTTGGGGTCATTTCGTCGACACCTTCATCTCCGGCATTTGTCGGTGCAACTTCACATTGAAATAATCTTCCCCATTATTGGTCCACATTGGTTCCCCACCTCGGACAATCCTTGAGCACGTCCCAAGCATGCTGCAACTTAAAAACTTGATTTTTTGGT